GTCTAATCACTGGGTGACATCCCATGGGGATTCCACAGTGTCATGGGCAGAATTTTTTGGCTCATTGATGCCAAACCTGCATGCCACTTAGAAATGCAATGACCTTGGCAGATGTCTACACCGTCATTGTACCCACGTCATCATTCATGCCACTGCCCAAGGTACAATATGGAGCCTCACAAAACACGCCTCATCCCCTCTGGAGGTCTAGGCAGTGGTGATAGTGACCAGCACTCATGTTGCTTCTTAAAGCTCATCAGCCTTATGCTCACCAGCCAGCCCGCGTTCAATTCAAGCTCCTTCGCCCTTATTGTGCTGACTGACTGGGGGTCCTGGTGCCACCACAGAGGCCACCACATTACACAATGAAATGAAATCTTTGATGCCAATCAGGAAATGTGCAAAATAATATCCAAACATGTGATCCAAGTAGTCCCCATCCTGGAACCTAGAATGAGAGGCATGGCTCTGTGGCAGCTATGGTTGCTCATGACCCCTGGCCTCAGGTGTTCTGCTGGCCGGTCAAGAGGCATTTGTTCCCTTGGGGTGCTTTTTGCTACATGTAGATAAGGAACACAGGCAAAGTTGCTCAGATACCACAGTACATGATGTGTTTCTCCAGGAGAAACGTTCCCCCAGGCCTCCCTTAATCACCTCAGAGTCCCCAAACAACTCCGTTTCACCAAACCCGCTTGGACCTATTGCACCACTCAACTCTACCCAGGAGTTCTATGTATTAGGAAACATGTTTTTCTTAAATTCTCTTCCTGTGTGAAGTCTGGAGAGCTGCTGATGACTGAACCAAAAGTGCCTTTTGATAATATGCACTGGGGTATTCTTACCAAAGACCTACCACCTGAATATCTAACCCAACCCCCCTGCCATACACACATAATAAAAATTAGTAAAATATTACCCTTCATGGTGTGTCAGTGAAGGTGGTGTAGGAATTCATATTATCATCTTTACCACTTTCCTAAGTATGAAATCATTTAAAAGTTAAATTTAAATATCTGAGTTTCCGCAGGAACCTAGCCAAGAAAAGTTTGAGCTTGGAACCGTGCCCTGGAAGTAAGGGTCCAAAACATCCCTGCTCTTAGGGACACTGTTCCCTGTGGCTTCAGCTCTCCCTGGACACGCTCTCCCAAACTGGTGGTAAGAGATTGGCCAATTAACCCACAATGGCTCCTTCTTTCCTGTGAAGAGATGCTGAGGATTTGGGCTACCGTCTGGAAGAGGTGTCTGAATGCAAAGACGAGTGGAACAGGTCAGAATGCTGGACATGTGCACTTGGCAATGGATCTGCCTTTGTGCTTGAGGGTTAGCATATGAATATCTGTGTTCATGAGTGTAGGTGTGTGCATGCATTATTGTGTATGTTTGGACAGTAGCCTGTGTGTGTGGGTGTATGTTATGTATCTGACTATAGCCTGATTCTTTTTCTGACATAGATCCAATCCAGGCTGTGTTTTAGCACATGTACCCCAACTTATCAGCCTCTTCACGTGTGACGCTTATTGTGGTAAGTGTGTGGTGGGTGTGCATGTGTGATGTTGGAGCGGTTTTCTTGTGAGATTTTTCTACTGTGTGTTTTTGGTGGCGTATCTATATGGTAATGAGTTATGTATATGTGGTGTGTGAGTTGTGTGTTTTAGTAGATGTGTAGTGCTTGTGTGTCAGTGGTGCATTGTGAGTGTATTTGTGGGTGACACATTATTGCATATTGTGCATGTTAGCTTGTCTGTAATTTATGACTTGTATGCATATGAGTGTTTAGGAATGAGGCACATACTGGCATTCCTTTCCTTAGAATGGGAATCGGACACAGGTGAATGGAATCCTCAACTCAGCAATGTGTGTGTGTGTGTGTGTGTGTGTGTGTGTGTGTATGTGTGTGTGTGTGTGTGTCTAATATTGTATGGTTGAGGGCTCCTGACTTGCAACCATGATTTTAAATATTTCCTATGTGCCCTTCCTGTGGGGCCCCACCAGCTGAGATAACCAATGCCCCCAGCACTCTTTCTGAAAAGGACCTGCTGTCAGTATCATACACCTGAGTGTGACTGAGACCCTCAGAGATTCCTAACCCTTCACGTGCACTTACCATCCCAGGCAAAGATAGTTAGGCACCGTGCTGGGTGATGTTAGACAGCAGAAGCCGCACCAAGTGGCAGCAAGACCTTGGGAAGGTCCCTAATCCCTGTGGCCTCAGGTTATATGTCTATGGAATGGAAGCTTACAGGCCCTCATAGACATCTACGGCTAGAATTAAGGCTAGTGTATGTAAGAGCCTTTCTCAGTTGTAAGATATACAGATATGAATGAAGGGGTTACCTCGCCCCAGCACTAGGGCAATTCTGGGCTTCAGGTTCCTTGCAGCCCTAAGATAACACAGGGTGTAGGCGCTCAGAACTAATGAAGTGGGGGAGTTCCATGTTGCGGGCTGGGTTCTGATCTCACAAAAACATTAGATTGAACTATAAAACATTACCAATATTTGATCATTTATGCAGAAAATTGCAATTTTATATATAGTGTTATAGTGTATACATAGAATAATGTATATATATAACTATTAATCTATATAAATATGGGGGTATACATATAGATGTGTATCCCATGCATGTGCATATATCTCATATTTATATATATATACATACAAATATCCTCATCTATATGTGTGTGTGTGTGTGTGTGTGTGTGTGTGTGTGTGCAAGTGTGTGTTCCATCAGTGACAGATACTGTTTATATCTGTGGAATTTATATTTCAGTTTTCTACTAAGTGAAAAAGAACACTAATTCTTTGTGCAGCACTGAAGGTTTTAGGTGGTAATGGAAGTCTGATGTTGGATTTCATTAGGAAATGTATGTAAAGCCCTTAGCATAGTGCCCAACACACACTTTTATCCCCAAAATGTTTGCCATCATCATAAAAGATACGTTGTGGGCTATTCCAGCAGGGGTGTTATTCTGGTGTCAGGCAGCTCTAAAGGACCACCCATTCCTAGAGTGCAAAGGAGTTTACAGTTATGGGTCAAAGGGACCAATCAGGTCACAGAAGGAGGGTGATGGTCCCCCAAAACCACCTCTCCTCTGGAACCTCACATCACTTTAAGGCACAAATAACACCAGGTTGCCAGGATCATCTACTATTTCTCCTGTGATGAACTATTATGGTTTTCCTCCATCTTGGTGTCATAAATTACCTCAGTATGCTCCTAAAAATGTACTCAAGAAGGCAGGAGACATCGATTTTCTTGTTCACTATACAATCTCAGTCCATAGTAGAGGGCTGTGTTCCGACTCAATAATCAATAACTAATGGTTGAATAAGACCCAGCAATTGCAATTCTGGGAACTTTCCTTGAAGAAAAAAAATCTCTAATTCAAGACATGCATGGGAATGTAAATTAGTTCAACCATTGTGGAAAGCAGTACGGAGGTTACTCAAAAAACTCAAAATAGAAATACCATTTGACCCAGGAATTCCACTCCTAGGAATGTACATTAAGAATGCAGAAGTCCAGTTTGAAAAAGACAGATGCACCCCTATGTTTATCGCAGCACTATTTACAATAGCCAAGAAATGGAAGCAACCCAAGTGTCCATCGGTAGATGAGTGGATAAAGAAGATGTGGTACATATACACAATGGAATAGTATTCAAACATAAGAAGAAAACAAATCCTACCATTTGCAACAACATGGATGGAGCTAGAGGGCATTATGCTCAGTGAAATAAGCCAGGTGAAGAAAGACAAATATCAAATGATTTCACTCATTTGTGCAGTATAAGAACGAAGAAAAAACTGAAGGAACAAGACAGCAGCAGAATCACAGAACCCAAGAATGGACTAACAGTTACCAAAGGGAAAGGGACTGGGGAGGATGGGTGGGAAGGGAGGGATAAGGGGGAAAAAGGGGCATTACGATTAGCACACATAATGTAGGTGGTGGGCACGGGGAAGGCAGTACAACACAGAGAAGACAAGTAGTGATTCGATAGCATCTTACTACGCTGATGGAAAGTGACTGTAATGGGTAAGTGGTGGGGACTTGATAATGGGGTGAGTCTAGTAACCATAATGTTGCTCATATAACTGCACATTAATGATACCCAAAAAAAAGACATGCACCCCTTTGTATACGGCATGATTTACAGTATCCACGATGTGGTAGCAACTTAAGTGTCCATCAATAGGTGGATGGATAAAGAAGAGATGGTATATCTGCAATGGAATATTATTCAGTCACAGGAAAGAATGAATCTTGCCATTTCTGACAAGATGGATGGACCTAAAGGGTGTTTTGCTAAGGGAAACAAAGCAGAGAAAGATAACTTCTGTATTACTTCACTCACATGTGGAATCTGAAAGACAAAACTAACAAATAAAACAGAAATAGACTCATTAACACAAAGAACATTGCTGGTTGTCATAGATAAGGACCTGAGAGATGGTGGAATGGGTAAAGGAAATAAGATGCACAAATTTCATATTATAAAATAAATTAGTCCCATGGGTGGAAGTACAGCAAGGGAAGTTAACCAATAATACTACTGCAATTTTTTTGGATGCTGACAGAATGCCACTACACGTAGCATGGTGAGCATTTGTTGATGCACACAACTGTGAAATCATTATTCTGTACATCACAAACCAACGTAATTTTGCATAGGAACTGTATTTCAATGAAAAATTAAATAAACACATACCTAAACAAACAAGCAAATAAATAGTGGTTGAATGAAATAGTGAACACACTTTTGCTTCTGTGCAATCAGGTCTTATTGGCTGATTGGGGGTGTATTATTTTTCTGAAGTGAGACTGAGATAGAGTCAATATAGGCATCTATAGGTGTGACACATAATACAGGTAGAAATAACTAGAATATAGTTAGGAAGTCATTATTTTCTCAGAAAATTACAGTACTGAATGTATCTGTGTCCATATTTCTGATATTCCTCTCCCTCCCTTATCCCCAGGAGGTAACTGCCCAGTATGGGGCCTGGTAACCACAGCAGTGTGTCCGAGTTCCTCCTCCTGGGCCTCCCCGTCCCCCCGGAGCAGCAGGGCATGTTCTTCGCCCTGTTCCTGGGCATGTACCTGACCACGGTGCTGGGGAACCTGCTCATCGTCCTGCTCGTCAGGCTGGACTCGCGCCTCCACACCCCCATGTACTTCTTCCTCAGCCACCTGGCCCTCTCTGACATCTCCTTTGCATCCATCACTGTCCCAAAGATGCTGACGAACATGCAGACTCAATGCCGATCTATCATGTATTTGGGGTGCCTTTCGCAGGTGTATTTCTGTATATTGTTTGGTTGCCTTGACAGTTTTCTCCTCGCTGTGATGGCGTATGACAGGTATGTGGCCATCTGTCACCCTCTCCACTACACCAGCATCATGAGGGACGAGGTGTGTATCCTCCTTGTGGTTGGGTGCTGGCTCTCCTCCTGTGCCCAGGCCCTCCTGCACACCCTCCTTGTGAACCAGCTGTCCTTCTGTGCAGGGACGATCATTCCCCACTTCTTTTGTGATCTTGCTGTTGTGCTCAAGTCCTCCTGCTCAGACACCTCCCTCAATGAGCTGCTCATCTTTGCTGAAGGTGGACTGGTCTTCATCCTGCCATTGAGTGGGATCCTGGGCTCATATATCCGCATGGCAGCCATCATCCTGAAGGTCCCCTCCCTCAAAAGAATCTCTAAAGCCTTGTCTACCTGTGGCTCTCACCTCTCTGTAGTGCTTTTATACTATGGGACAATTGCAGGTGTTTACTACTTCCCCTCATCAGCTGACTCCAAGGACAAGGACATCAATGCCTCTGTGATGTACATGGTGGTCACCCCCATGCTGAACCCTTTCATCTACAGCCTGAGGAATAATGATATGAAACGTGCTCTTCAGAAAATATTCAGAGCCAAGAACACCCCTTCATGTCATTAATTCAATCCCACTGTCTTAAGAATCATGCAGGCTGTAAAATAGGTCTCCTTTAGAAGAGGTAACTTGGATATCTTACTGTTGACATCATTCTCTTCCCATTCTCAATTTATGTGTCCTCTCATCTTTTCTCTTCAACTGATTGTGTATTTTCTCTACTTTTGTTTTGAATTCTGTGAATTAATGTTTCTACAGTGAATTTCCAAGCTGTCCTGTGATGTTCACTGCAAGCTTGTGAGCTTTTGAGTCCACTTCCCAGGGCTTTAGTTTTTCTTTTCTTATTCTTTTCCTTCAATGACCCTCTTTATTTGGTACTGATAACAGCACATACATGCAAATTTTCTTAATACCAGTAAACTTCGTTTATTTCACATGTGAGGAATTTAGAAGTTACCAAATTGTTTTACCTATTGAATGGTACCTATCACAACTGGCATTAACTAATCATTTAAATGCAATTTTATTTAATGCTCAGGATAAACCACTGCTAAGGTACTCATGTTTTCCAAATTTACAGGGTGCAAACTAAAAGAGAGATCAAGTAAATAGCTGCCCTAAGACTTAATCTCAGACAAGTGAGACTCTAAAACCATGTGCTTAACCAGATTAGCTTATTGCCACTATCCTAGTCTCAAATATCACTAAGTTTGGTTGTTTTTGATCCTTATATAAGGTATACAGGAAATATTCTTTTGGGTTCCACTTTTTTTATTTAGTGTAGTTATGGTGAACTCATTCACAAGGCTTTATAGCTTTCGACTGTGTCTGTATACCTTCATATATTCAGGCATTCTAGTTTTGATTGACATTTGGGTTGTTTCCTGTTTGGGACTTTAGCATATAGCAGAGAATGAAATACGGGAGTCTCATTGTGTGCCTATTCAGCATTAATAAATAATATCAGAAAGTTGATGAAGTGCTTGTACCAATTATAGTCATCCCTGTAATATATGAAAAGGTATGGTTCATTTCCTCATCAGCACTTGCACTGGCCACCTTTTCCACTGTAAAAATACTTCCGGCTCTGTAGTGTACTGTGCTGCGGTTTTAGCTTGTGTTGGCCTGATGTGTTATGTAGTTTATCTCCCTTGCCTATGCTTATTGATCATTTGGGTATTTTCTCTTGTCAAGGACATGTTTCTGCCTTTACTGCTGTGTTATTATGTAGTCTCCTTTTAAAAACTAATTTCTAGGAATTCTTTATATATTAGATGTGAGTTCTTTGTCAGATATATGCACTGAGAATTTTTCTTTCACTACATGGCTTCCCTTTTTACTATATTAATGGGTCTCTTCATGGACAGAAACACTTACCTTAATGTCATATGTATGTATATATATATATATACACACACATAAAATATGTTTTTTCTAATATTGTTATATATGTGTCCTGTTTAAAATATCTTTGTCTATTCAAAGGTCTTAAGGTTTTGTCTTTTAAATGTCTTATTTTTGCCTTTAATATTTATATTTAACAGCCATCTTGGTTCCCATTTTACTTATATTTAGGATTTGGACCCAGATTAACTTTTTTGATATAGGTACAAATAGCCACCCAAGAATTTACTGAAAATTATATGCTTTCCCCACAGAACTGCAGCATTGTCTTTGTTACCAATCAATTGCTGAATATAGTTTATCTTGGCTATCTTTTGCTGTTGCATTTCCATTTGGATTTTATCCACAGCATTCCCATCATGTGTATACGAGTGCTCCAGTTTGTCCGATCCTCATCAGCACTTAGTATTGCTCTTCTATTTGATTTTCATCGTCCTACTTCTTGTGAGGTGGTATCTCAATGGGGCTTTGATGTTTAGTTCTCTAAGGACTAGAGGGAGGTGAGGACTGCAAAACAGTGTGAATATACTTAATGCCACTCAACCATGCACTCTAAAATGGTCAAAATGGTGAATTTTGTGTCATGAGTATTTTACCACAATAAAAAAATATTCATCCATAAAAAAAATTTTTTAAAGAAATAAATCCTGCCTTTTGCAAAACACGGTTGGACTTGGAGGGTACTATGCTAAGTGAAACAAGCCAAATGGAGAAAAACAAATACCACATGATTTCACTTATATGTGGAATCTAAAAACAAAACAAAACAAAATGAACAAAATAGCAATAGACTCATAGACACTGAGAAGTGAGTGGCAGTTACTTTGAGGGAGAAGGGTTGGGGTGGGTACATGAGGAGGGTGAGGTGGATAAAGAAGTAAAAAATCTCAATTATAATATACATTGGTCACCATGATGGAAATGCAGCATGAAGAATGTAGCCAGTTGTTCTGTAACATCTTCCTATGTTGACAGATAGTAACTGCACTAATTGGGGTGAGGATTTAATAATGTGTATAACTGTTGAATCACTGTGTTGTATACTTGAAACCAATATAATACTATATATCAACTATAATTCAATTTTTAAAAACTTCAAAAAACAAGAAACAAATCAAACAATGCAGTTTATCCCATAAGCAAAATAAAAGAAAGATTAATGAAAAAAATTCTTTTTTTATTTGAAAGAAAAT